AACCCCTCCCCCCCCTACACCCCCCTCCCCATCCCGCAGTCCAGCAGGCCCTTCCCCTCCTCCGGGACCCCCCATCCCACCCCGCCGTGCACCCCACAATCGCCAGACCCCCTCCCTCACCGCCCCCTCCAGCCCACGCGCCGCCGGGGCTCCTTGTCCCCCCGCCTGCACGTCTGGGGGGTTCCCTCCCCGCCCCAAAACCCCGCCACCCCCTGAGCGGGTGCTCCCCCTCCCCATCCAGCCGCGGGACCACCCCGTTCCCGCCTTTCCCATGGGGGACGCCCCGACGGCGGAGCTGGACGCGGTGCTGGACGGGGGCGCTTGGGAAGTGGGGGCGACTTTCGAGGGGTCCCCCGCGCCCCCCGCGCCCGTGAGCCTGGGCAGGACCGTCTGCTACGTGGTGCTGGCCGTGCTGTTCAACGAGGAGGTGAGGCAGCCCCAACCCCCCCCCCCGGGGGGACCCTCGGTGCCCCCCGAAAGCCGCCGGTGCCCAGCGAGCCCCTCGGTGCCCGCAGGGCGCGGTGCTGCTGGTGCAGGAGGCGAAGCCCGAGTGCCGCGGGAGGTGGTACCTGCCCGCGGGCAGGATGGAGCCCGGGGAGGGGGTCGTGGAGGCCCTGCGGAGGGAGGTGAAGGAGGAGTCGGGGCTGGAGTGCGAGCCCGTCACGCTGCTGGCGCTGGAGGAGCGCGGCCCCGCCTGGATCCGCTTCGCCTTCCTGGCGCGCCCCGCGGGTGAGTCCCGGGGGGCTGCGAGGGCACGGGGTGGGTGGGGCGCATGGTGTGCCCCCTGCCAGCCCCGCGATGGGTGTCCGTGTCCCCAGCCCAGCCCTGTGATGGGAATTGGCATCCCCTGCCAGCCCCATGATGGATGTCCCTGTCCTCTACCACCCCTGTGACGGGCACTGCCATCACCACGATGGGCACCTGTGTCCCCTGCCAGCCCTGTGACGGGAATTGGCATCCCCTGCCAGCCCCATGATGGACGTCCCTGTCCCTGCCTGCCCTGTGGCAGAGCATTTGTGTCCCCTTCTAACCCCATGATGGCCATCCCTGTCCCCTGCCAGCTCCATGATGGACACCTGTGTCCCCTGCCAGCCCTGTACTGGGTCACTGGTGTCCCCTGTCACCTTTGTGCCAGCCTGTGTCCCCTGCCAGCCCTGTACCAGGGCATCAGCACCCCCTGCCAGCCCTACAATGGACATCAGTGTCCCCTGCCCTTTTTGTGCCAGGGCATCGCTGTCCCCTGCCCCCACCAGCCACCAGTACTGGCATCCCCCCGACTCCATTCTGGGCTATCAGTGTCCACTCTCAGCCCCACAAGGGGGGTCTCACTGCCCCCCCCCAGCCCCATCACCAGGCACTGCCACCCCCCTGCCTGTCCTGCTGTCCCCCACCCCATCCCAGGCCCCTCCCTCTGCCCTCAGGTGGGACCCTGAAGACCCTCGAGGAGGCGGACGCCGAGTCCCTGCAGGCCCAGTGGTGGTCGGGGGACCCCCGAGCGCTGCCCCTGCGCTCCCTGGACATCCTGCCCGTGCTGGACCTGGCCGCCCGCTACCGCCGGAGCCCCCCGCACCCCCCGACCCTGCCCCGCCAGCTGCCCTGTGCCCCCCTCTGCCTGCGCCTCCTGCTGCCCTTCACCAGCACCACTGGCGACCTGTGGGTGCTGCTGGGCACCGCCGGGACCCCCCACCTGCCCGTGGTGGCCTGTGGCACGTCCCCCCCCGAGCTGCGTGCGGGGCTGTGCTGGCCCGTGCTGCGCCTGCTGCGGGACTGCCTGCCCTGGGACCCCCCATGGGACCCCCAGCCGGGGGTCCTGGGGCTGCTGGGGCTGCAGCACCGGGCTGGGGGGGCCGGGGGGGCTGATGGCATCTGCTTCAACGTGGTACTGAGCGCCCCGGGCACCCGCGGGGATGTGCCCCCCGAGCCGTGTGACCCCGCGCTGCGCTGGTGGCACGTGGAGG